ATGGCGTCGAACCTCATCAAGGGCGGGAGGGACGTAATCGTCTGGAACCGAACCGCTAGCAAGGCCGCCGACTTCAGCAAGCGCACGGGGTGCGAGACCGCGGCCACGCCCAAGGAGGTCGTGGAGCAAAGCTCCATAACCTACAGCATGCTCTCGACCCCGGAAGCCGCGTCGGAAGTGTTCTTCGACCCCCACGACGGCGTCCTGGCCGGGCTGTCGAAGGGCAAGTGCCTGGTGGACTGCGCCACCCTACAGGTCGAGGACATGCAGGACATGTACAGCGAGGCCATCGGAAGGGGCGCCAAGTTCCTGGAGGCTCCGGTATCAGGAAGCAAGGGGCCCGCGGCGGCAGGCCAGCTGGTGTTCCTGTGCGGCGGGGACGAGGACCTCTTCGAGAGGGCCTCCGAGGACCTCGACCTCATGGGCAAGGCGAGCCACTACCTCGGGCCCGCGGGAAAGGGTACCGAGATGAAGCTGGTGGTGAACATGATCATGTCCACGATGCTGGCGTCCGTGGCGGAGGGGATGTGCCTCGGCGACTCCCTGGGCCTGAGCAGCGACTCGCTGATCGAGATCCTCGGGCAGGGCGCCATGGCCAGCCCGATGGTCGCCCTCAAGGGACCCCTGATGGCCAAGAAGGACTACTCGTCGAACTTTCCCCTCAAGCACGCGCAGAAGGACATGCGTTTCGCCCTGGGCCTTGGCGACAAGGTGGGTTAGGTGGAAACGTACGCTAGGAGAGGTTTGACGTCTGTGATGGTTGATCTCGTGCACTACTGCTGTGGCGTTTGGGTGTTGATATGGCGAATTATGCACATCGATAGGTGGAAACGTGCGCTACGAGGGGTTTGACTATGACGCATGGTTGACCTCGTGCACTACTGCTGTGGCATGCGTGTTCTGTGATGATGACGTGGACGTGTTCACCTCTCTTCGAAGGGGAGAGGGGTGGGTTTGGGCAGTAACATGGTGGGAGGGGCTGATGAAAAGGAAGCAGCACGAACATACAGTTTTTGTCGTGAAATCATCCAGTGGGAAGCGTTTCCCTCTCTCTCCCCGCAACAAAAACCCGCCGATTTCCACTTCAATGGGTTCTGCATATTGTGTGACGTGGGTCTGAACCGTGAGTTGGCGGCCTTGACATGTTGTAGGGGGGCGCCGTGAATGCTCAATATGTGGGCGAGATCTGCTTCTCGGTGTCGGCTATTAAGCGGTTTTTCACATCGTGAGGTGACAAGGAATGTTGCAACTGCAACCCTCAGCGCTATACCCCTAAGTGAACGAGACTGGCACACCAGCAGGTGGCTCTGTCCCGTGATTTCCTCGGACAAGGGAACTCTCCTGTTGAACAGGTGTTGGTCGAAACGGTCTTTCGACGTTCCCTTGGCCAACCCCATGTTATGCGAAGTTTTTTGTGCTGTTTCTTTCAGTTTTCGGATTAGTCGTGGGGGGGAAGGAGGCTATTATGGCCCACCTTCAACTTGTCTGCAACACCCTGTCACTAGCGTATGTTGTTTATAGCGCTCAGAGTACACCGCGGCGATAGGGGTACACCTACCGCGACCTTGGTAACCGAGGTTTTGTCTTTGAGTCTCGCTTCCTACTGCATGGCGATTGTCAACGACACTGCCCACAGCCCGTCGTGTTTATGTACCCGGACCCATCGCCTTTTACCTCGAGTCGGACTCATCGCCTATTACCTTGTGCGCAAACACGATGGTCCAAACCAGGCGGCGCAAGCCCTCCCGGTGGCGGCCGCAGCCAACGCGGAGTACCTGCGAGCCAAAAAAAACCACGCGGACGACGACTTCTGCGCCGTCGTCGAAGCGCTCCGGTCCAAGCCGGAGAAAATCAATTCGAATTTGTAGCCGAAGAAAATCAATTCGAATCTATATGTCGTCGTTGTTGGTACCTCTTGTGCTCATAAGAGAAGGTTATGTGGCACGCAGTTTGCTGATTGGTAAAAAAACCTGCGGCGGAATTTCAAAAACACAGGCACGACCCAAGGTTTCACTGTGGACGCCTGCTTTGTCACAAAGTCGTGTTTATCGTAGCTCGCAGCACGCGTTGCGTCTCGATGGATTTGACCTTGAGGGGTGTATGATGTATTTTGCTAAGACTCGTCGCTTTGCGTGTCAAGGGACGTGTCGCCGAAAGCCACACGAGCGACAGGAAATTACTCTGTACAAGGCTCTCCTTGTTGTAGAAACATTGCCGTTGAGGAACCTACGATAATTAAATAGGCTACATTAGATTGTCGTGAAACGAGGCAAGCGGTAGTTACTGGACGTGCGGTGGGGATTGGCGGCTCCGGCTGTCAAGAAAATGATATCTTGCGGTTGACTGAAAGGCAGAAAAGGACGACGTGATTGATGCTGTGAGGACACCGCCACTACTTTTGGTAAGTAGTGGGCTTTACCCGCCCGCCCCTGCACTGCTTGATCGAATGAGTGTATACATACACCTTCATGTATAAAATTTTACAAGATCACGATGAAAACTTGGTTTGCCGAAGCTCTCGTTCTATATTTGGGCACGATCGGCAAGAAAAAATGAACGGACTGCTACGATCACCTACAGTAGTATGCTGCTTCTGGGGCGGGCGCTGCTGCTGTCGCTTTGGGGGACTTATTTCACCTCTGCCCAGTTGCTCTACCAGGATGTCCTGTACTGATGTCATCGGCGTCAGAAGAAGGGTGTTCTTGTGGGCACACCCCAAGTGGAGTAGACCGAAGGGACATCATACACGGCTTCACGCCGCCCCAAAACGCAACGCGATCTACCTAAACTGCAATAACCAACCCGTCAACGACGTTGCGCCGCACTTGATCCGGAAAGGGTTTTTGAGTAGATGGAGCGGGGGCTTCTTCTCCTTCCGAGTTACGATGGACCCGTTGTGAAAGCGAAACAATGACGCGTGTGATTTTCAGTCCTTTATCGCTTATGAACATTGCGCGTCATCGCTCTGTGGCTCAAAACCAAGGCTCGACGAAACTATTCCAGAGGTGGCTGCTGACGACGCGTCGGACATGGACGGGCCGCAGCCTCGAGAGTGGAAAGCGCCGTTGAACAGAGAGGTGTCCAAGTCAGTGAACACCACACGCCGCGAGAATCCACACCGATGTGTTAAAATGCTCGTTCTTTTAGTTGGTCGAAGACCGAGACGTGGAACGTTTTTGGGTGTTTTCTGTTGGCCCCCAGATTGCTAGAATGTCACTGGAACCGTGTATTGGTGTGATCATCACCCGTTTCTTGGTGTGACCTCGAGGCATCATCCCCCCCGCGCGCTCAGTTATCCGTTATTCTCTTGTGCTTAAGGGTAGTCTACAACACAGCTCTGGGGTCGTTGGGTGGCTGGCTGGCTCCTCGTGCGTACCACACACGAAATCTCACCGGTATACCACTCCAGACAGGGCCAGGCGAAAGCTCGTACCAAGACCAACGTGCGCGTTGTCGCCATCACGAAATAACCCAGGCCCTCCCATCAGAACACACCGCCTGAGAGAGGGGCACGCCTCGTCTAACCTCGCCGCACGTCCACAAATATCAATTAAAGTAAAAACAAAAAGAAAGTGGATCGGGCAACATCGCCAGGGTTGGGTTCCTTGTTCCACGCGATACTGTGTCTGTAGTGCTACAAGAGCAGGGAACTCGAACTCAACCCCACACCTGATGTTCCGACCCACGAGGCTCTATGAACGCCCTCCAATTGGACTTCAGATGGTCTACATGCAGGCCATGTGCAGGGGCAAGGAGAAGGGGGGATACACAGAATCTGGTACGAAGCACCTTGCAGTAAATGGTCACAGCAGTCGATCCTCGGGGGGAAGGGTAGCGTCGGAGGGGGGGTAATATGCCCGAAACGTGCTATTTTCTGTAAACCACGCCTAAGTACCATCTGCAAACAAGTTGTTCTACTTACGTACTTAATCGAAGGTGGCGTCCTTTAGCTCGACGTGAATCCACAATAGGGAGGGGGGGGGGGGGGGG